TTCAAGGCAGATTCCACATCCCATGAGACCCGAGCAGAGCAGGGGCGGAAGAGCCGGGATGTTCACTCCCTTTTGGACACTGATGGCTGGGTGCTCTGCATGCTGGGGCTCTGGCCAGGGCACTGAGCACTTTATCGGGGCTCCTCCATCGGTGCCAAGCGCAGCCGGGGCTGCGGAAGTGCTCCGGTCTCTGTTGGAGGGCGATAGCTGCCCCGAGATAATCCCGCTATCAGATCCGCGGGGCTGACCACGCCCGTCGCTCCAAGGCAGCCCAAAGCATCCCCTCCCCGAGGGAGAAGGGTCCCTGAGCCCCGTGCGGGGGGTCCCCAGCCAGCCCCAAGCTGGGGCGCAGCAAGGAGAGGCCGCTCCAGCAGCTCCGCAGGGCTGGAGTTGACCCCGCTCCAAATGAGACTAAACACTTGCTGAGCAAAGCTACCGACCAGGGTCTCGGGGGACCGCTGGGGATGTGTCATCCTGCTCCCGAGCCAGCCCCGAGCTCCAGCGGTGTCACACAGAGAGTGGCTCTGCCAGGGGGTCCGGATCCCGGCCCCTGCCCTCCCCCCGGCTCTTGCGGCCCGTGCCAAGTCCCCTGCTGGGCACGGGGGCGGCTCTCGGAGCCGGGTCCTGCAACAGAGGTTGTGTTCGTCTCGCCTCCAGCCCATTGTCTTGTTTATTTGTCACGGTTGGTCCCCAATTAGGAGTTCGAGCCGTTTGGGACAAGAACTGTTTCTTCCCATGTGAGCGTGCGGTTCCCGCTCCGCCGGGCTGTGATGTGGCCGGCGACCCGCAGGAGCATCTGCTATTGCAGCAACAGTGCCCGAATGCGTTTCAGATGGGCTCGGCTCTGCTTTGCGTGCTCGGGCCGGCGGCCAGCCCGGGATGGAGCCTCCAGCCGGCCCTCGGGATGCGATGTTCCCGTCCTCGGGGACCCGGCCTGGGGACCTGCTGGGGGGATGCTCACCAGCCAAACGCGTCTGGCCAGTGCCGAGTCCTGGGGGGAGCCCTGGATGGGGAAGCGGGCAGCAGTGCGTCCGACCCCAGCCTGGGCGCACACGGGGGAAAGCGGGATGCTCCACCTGGCATCTCTCAGGGAGCCACCCGACCGCCACCCCCGGCTCTGCCGGCGAGGTCAGCCCTGCTTGGGACGCTCCCGCCGGCTCGGTGCCGGGGATGCGGCGCGGGTCACCCCGCGGAAGGGACGCGCAGCCGGTGGTGCCCCAGCCCCGCACCTGCCCCCGCGGACGGCAAGTCCCGTCTGGCCGGTGGCCCCGGGGCAGCGCAGGGCCCGTCCGGCCGGGTTCGCGCGGCGTCAGGCAGCACATGATCCACGCCGCGGGGCCAAGGGCTGAGGTCAGTCAGTCACACCCAGGCAGCGGCACTGACTTCACCGCGGGCAGGAGCGGCTCCTCACGTATCCCGCTCCCCGAAGGCAGCGCTGACCCGCCGCTCGGGGCCCGTGGTCAGGCCGCTCCGTTATCGGGGCGCGAGCATCGCTCCCATCGCAACGGACGGCTCCCCGGAGCCCCTCCTGGCTCTCGTCCCAGCCAACATCGTTTCTCTGGTCCTGGGGCCGAAGGGGAGTCACAGACGGGGTCCTGCCGGTGCCGCTGGGGAAGCCGCAGCGCCGGTTCCTTCGCGGTGCTCCCGGTCCGGCTCGCGGGGCTGGCCCGCTTCCCCGGGGCGCCGGCTGGGTGGGATCAGCCGCTGGCTGAGGTAATTGAAAGCCCTTTCCATCTCTCCCGGGGCTGGGATGAGCAGAGCAGCGCGTCCTGCCTCGCTGGGGCGATGGCACGAGCCGGGGGCCACCGCCGGCCCCGACTCCAAAACCTCAGGGGAGGGTAGAGGAAGGGATTCGGGGATTTTTAGGGGCTTGTCCATACGTTTCCAGGGAAGGAAGAGTTAACCCCCCGCCTGCTGCTAATGAGCCTTAACTGGGAATGACCCGACACAGGGGAGAAGTGAACCCATTGTCCTCGCCTGGGTTTGACTGTTTTCCAGGGAGACTCATGAAACGCAGAGCCGGGGCGTGAGTTCCCGATTTATGTCAGGAGGTTGTGATTTATTCTATTTATTTATTTTTGCCATCTGGTTGAGGAGGGATGTTGAACGCAAGCGTGAGAAATCCAGATGTGCACAGCTCCTCGCTCCCGCGCAGGACATCGTCCCCAGCCCAGCTCCCGGCCCCGCCGAGCCCGGCCCTGCCCCCGGGCCCTGCCAGCCCTGGAGCTGCCCGGGCTGGGTTGGTGGCACCCCATTGCACCTTCCACATCCCGGGTGGGAATGAACTGTGGGTGTTGATACAAGGAAGGACTAAGTTTGGATGTCCAGCCCTGAACTTCCCAGCATAGGAAATATTATATATTTCCGTATCATAATATAATATATAATGCCGTAGGAAATATTATATATTTCTGTGTCATTATATAATATCATATAATGCCGTAGGAACAATAGCCATGGGGACACCTGTGTGCCCCCAGCTGCAGGATCACGGTGACCCTGGCAGCCATCGGGGTGCCATGGTGACAAGTGCTGCAGGACCTGGCCCTGGGGCATAATGCCCATCCTAAAGTGATGATGCCCTGTCCCATGCCTGTGTTTTTTTGGGGGGGTTGTATTGCTTTGAGTGCATTGTATCCCACAGTGCAGGCAGGAAACGGGCCCCACAGATGGGCTGCAACCCCAAAATAGGCATCCTCTAAGGCAGGGACACAGGGGACACCCAGGGTCCCTTCCCTGGTGGCAGGCTGGATGATGGAAGAAGGCCACATCATGCATTGGGAGACACCACGGCATCCAGCATGTCCCTGAGTGCTTCAGCTGTGGGATGGAGGAGCCCATTCTGTTTTGGCATTCGCCCCTTCCACGAAGGGACAGCAGGGCCAGGCTGGAAATGGGCACTGCTGGCCCTGCTGTCACCACTGGTGCAGCACGAGGCTGCCACTGGCACAAGGCAGTGCCAGTCTGGGGTCAAACCCACACCATGCAACCTCCCATAGGAGCTGAGGGTCACAACTGGGCAACACGGCCCTGCAGGGCAGAGGAAGAGGAGCTTAGGGGGCAACTGGTGAATTTCTGTGGTGATCTTTAGGTCGGGGCTCCTCTGAGACACGAGAGATGATCACACAGGATCTTAGCTCATCCGCTTGCTGTCTCATGCCTGGGAGGTTTGGCCAGTGGCCCAAGGGCTCCGGAGGAGGAGGAAAATTTCATCATCCTGCTCCAACGTCTCCTGGATAATCAGCCCCTTGTTAACCGATACAGCCCCATACGAGGCGCTCGCTGCGGACCCGGCCACTGCTGCAGCCTTAGGTGGTCTTGGCCTCGGCAAAGCTCTGCTGAGCCTCTCCCAGCACGGCCTGGGAAGCAGCTCTGATTTTATCTGCTGCGTCCCCTCCATCTCGCACATGCTCACTCAGCTCCCTCGGCCTCTTCCCAGCCTTTCTCCATTTCCCCAGGAACTTCCAGGGTTGCCAGAGTGGGGCTACCCACACCAAGGTGCTCCACACGCTGGGGTGGTCCCCTCACCGTGATGGTGCCCGTGCCATGATGCTCCCCACGCTGCCACGGTACCCACACCAAGATGCTCCCTGTGCCAGGACAATCCCTGCACCGTGATGGTCCCGCATCGTCCCAGCGCTTTTGAGCAGCTGGTGAGTCAATTTAAACATTCCCCCCACCTGGAAAAATATATTTCCAATCAGCTATCCTATAGCAGGTGGGAAGGGAGGCGGGAACAAGGCGACAGAGGACTGTGATCCAAAGCAATGCCTTGAGGGCTTTTCTCCCTGAGGGTGCTTTGGGGGAGCAGAGGTGTCTTTTGGTGAGCACAAAAGGCACCCAAGGAAGAGCAGTCAAATATAGTCTGTTTCTATTGGTTTATTTTTAAAAAAAGTAGAGTAAGAAGTATAAAAAAATAAATATTTAAATAGAATTCAACCAATATATTACCAAAATTCTTATTAATAATAATTAATTATTATCAATAATAAAATTAATTAAAAGTCAGTTTTCAGTGCATGCTGTGCTTTCCACAGAAGTAATTAATAAACCTCCAGAAGTAATTAATAAACCTCACAGCCTGCTCTGGTGCCAGGAGTGAGCCAGCGCCACCTGCCACCGGCCTGGGGCCCGTCCCTGTGTCCCCACGTCCCCACGTCCCCATGTCCCACATCCCTATGTCCCCGTGTCCCATGTTCTTGTGTCCTGTGTCCCCATGTCCCCACGTCCCCATGTCCCACATCCCTATGATGTCCCCATGTCCCTGTGTCCCCTGTCCCCATGTTCCTGTGTCCCTGTCCCCACGCCAGGGCTGCATGCAGCCGTGCAAAGCCCAGCTCTTGGCCGTTAGCACATTCAGAGCTCTTCCAATGGGAAAAGCACTTTTCCAAAGGAGAGGACATCCCGTGCCCCGCCGTGCCTGCGCGGGGGGATGATGCTCCACAGTGGGGTGACTGTCCCACACAGGTGGCCTTGTCCCAGATGGTGGGACCCAGCCCCAGGAAGCTCAGGCCACCAGTACCCTCCGTTTGGCTCCTTGCAGGGGAGCCCAGCCTTAAAATGTGCAGGAGGAGCATGTCCCCGCGTCCCCACATCTCTGCCAGCCACTTCATCCCAATGTCCTTCCTCACAATCCTTTTTCCAGGGAAGTGACAGCTTTCAGATGGTGCTCAAGGGCATCTGTCCGTGGGGGACAGAGTCCAGCCCTGCCTCCAGTCCCCACGGCTCCCCGCACCCCACGGGAGCCCGGGAATGGCTGAGGCACATCCTGGGACCAGCCCATGCTCCTCAGAGATGCGCTGCCTCGTCCTGCTGGATGCTGGCTCTGCTCTGCCCGGGACACTCCGGGCTGCAGCGTTCACCCCTTCAAGGGGCAATAAATTACCGGAGGGTGGATGGGGCCTGCGTAGGGTCCGAGTAATAAATAGGAAGGCGGGAATTCAGGAGGCAGCGGTGGGGGCCGGCCAGCAGCGGAGAGGCAGCGTAGCCGGGGCGGGCGCTCATGAGGGGCTGAGATGAGGTAGGAGGACACGTGCCGCCTGGCCGATGACCTGCACGTACTTCCTGAGCACCTGGCAGCCCTGCTGCTTCTTCTTGAAGGCGCTCTTGCCCTTGGAGCTGTCCCCGTACCTGACGTCCACCTGGAAGATGTTGTAGTTCTTGCAGAGGAGGCAGGTGAGGTTGGAGATGAGGCCTCGGGTGGTCTTGGTGGTGTTGTGGAGCCGCTCGAGGAGCTCCTTGGCCATGGGGTTGAGCTCCTCCTGGTCGCGCGTGATGTTGCCCAGCGAGGCGTTGAGGAAGGCGAAGAGCTTGTACATGGCCACCATCACCTCCTTCCTCTCGCTCGTCCGGTTGACGCGGAAAGCGGGGAAGAAGATGCCGGCGGGGTTGCAGAGCTTGTCACTCTCGCTGCTGAACGGTTCTCCCTGGCACTTCAGCTGGGAGGAGAGGCGAGCGTCACCCCGCGTCCCCTGTGTCCCCCCCACCACCATCCCCCCGGTGTCCCCAGCCCTCCCCCTTCATGCAGTTGTGGCTCAACCCCCGCCGACCCCCGACCGTCCCCAAGCGCCACTTACGTAGAGGCTGAAGAGCTCCTGGGCGGTGGCGTTGAGCAGGGCCACCTGCCTGCGGGTCTGCTCCTGCACGTTGGAGCGGCACAAGCCGTGGCCGGGGCAGCCGGAGCCGCTCACCAGCAGCGCCCGGCCGGCCACGGGCCGCCGCTGCAGCAGGAGCAGGGCCACGAAGGGCACGACGCCTGTGTGGGGAGAGAGGCGGCTGTCACGCTGGGGACCGGGACGAGGCGGCCGTGGCCCGTCGCGTTGCCGCTGATGCAGGGCATCCGCCCGGGATGACCCCAGTTCCAGGCACCCGAAGGGAGGGTGTCCAGCCGGAGGCAGGACTCATCCCGCTCGGGTGTGCGTCCGGCTCAGCTGGAATCCCCGGACCCCCCGCTCCGACGTCCCGGCCGTGCCGCAGCTCCCATCCCGCTGCCGTCCCCCTCACCTGCCCCCCGGCAGGCGCTCCCCCGCTTCCCTTCCCGGCGGGGGCCCCCGCAGCATTCCCACATTTCGCAACCGGCCCGGTGGCGACCTGTCGCGTTTAATCAACCGTGCAAGACGCTTTTTCCTCCGTTATCCTGGTCCGGGCGCTTCGGGAGCAAGGCCCCACCCCGGCCCGGCTGACTCAGCGGGGCTCCCGCAAGGAAACCTGCTCTCGGCGTGCCCTCCCTCCTTCCTCCCGCCCCCGGCCCCACCGCCTGCCTCAGTTTCCCTATCTGAGAAGCGGGCGCTGCGCCGAGGAGCCCTGGGGAGAGACGATGCAGCTGCCAGAGACTCCAGCCAGGAAATCCCTGGACGCGGAACAAGGGGACCCTTGAGCCTCCGGCAGCTGGGTCACCCCTGCGTCCCCTCCTGAGAGCGGCGCTCCGCAAGCCCAAATCCGCTGGGACTCCCCCAAACCGGGATCCATCCCTGCCCGGAGAGGCCAAGTGCCTCTGGAGCCCGCCACTGCTCTGGGCAACGTCTGGGTGGGTGGCCGGGGTGTCCCCGCCGCTGGGTGACCCGGATGCCACCGGCAGGGTCCCGCCGGGGTGGCGGTGCCGTGCCAGGCGAAGTCCCCGGGCCGTGACGAGCGCCGAAGTCGCCCGCGCTTGTCAGCGCTTCGGACGTGCCGCGGTGCCGGGTAATCCAAGCCTCGATTTATTTACCCTGCCCAGGTGGGACAGGACTTACCTGGGCGTGTTCCGGTCCTGAGCCGCGGCTCCCCTCCCGCCCGGGACGGGGACACCCTGCCCCCCGCGCCCCCGCGGCCCTGCGCGCTCCGCACGGGGCGCAGATTCCCGACCCCTGACGAGCCCCCCTCGCTGTGTGCCCCATTCACAGCTGGGCAGCGAGAGGCTCTGCCCCGCGTGTGCCAGGATCTGGGCGGGTTGGGAGTCCCCGGTGCGTGCTGCCCCGTGGGACCCCCAGAACGCCTTCTGGGCTGGGGGCTGCTCCCTCCAACCCCCTTCCTGCACTTGGCAGCCTCCCCATCCTTCCACCGCTCCCGGCACGGCAGCGGTTTGAGGCATCGGGAGACCCAGAAGGAGGAAAAGCAGGAGGGGGGGAAAAAAAGTATTTAAAAGTACAAAAAAGAAAAAAAAAATCCCCCCCTCCTTGAGATTTTTTTTTTCCCTTGGAAGCATTTCCAGTTATATAAGTGTCCAGATGTTGGCTGCACCGCGCCAGCGCCGCGCTCCGCTCCCGCTGCCAATTCCCAGAGATGCTCGTCCCGGGGGGGACGCAGCGCGGCGGGAGCCCCCGCTCCGGCTCCAGCGGCGGCATCCAGCCGGGACCCGCCGGCATCACCGGCAAAAGGAGGGGAGGGGGAGGAAAAAAGGGGGAGGGGGAGAAGGGGAAATAGTATCTCCAAAGTCGGTTTGTTTTTTTTTTTTTTTTACCTGCCGGCACGAACTTCATTGTGAGCCGCGTCCCGGGAGCGACTTAATAGGGACTGGTGTTGGCAGAGGAAGTTTTCAGAAATTCATGTTCATACTGGGGGACTTCTCGGGGTTTATATACCGGTCCGGCAGCCAGCCTCTATTGTGAGAGGGAGGAGATGGGGGGTGGGGGATAATCATTCGCTATCGTTATAGCTGTTTTGAGGCAAAAAGATTAGGAAGTCGGATGGCTTTGAATGTTTGTTAGAAATAGATTTCTATTGTCACATTACATTTGGTATCTGTCTTTTTTTTTCACGCGCGGGCTCGGGGAAATTGGTGGGCTGGGGAGGATGAATTGAAGCCCCCCCAAGAGAGCTGCGCGGCCCCGCGTGGGGTTCGGGGTGTCGAGGCACGGCGGAGAACGCGCGGGGCTGTGACTCAGGAGCCGCAAGCACTTTCACCCCTCCCCGGGTCCCCCTCCCCGGGCCGAGCCTTCCCCGCTGGCCGCCGGAGCAGGCAATAAAATGAAGGAGGTAAAAAAGTCTGGTTTGGGGTTTGTCTGGGGTTTGGGAGGGATGGAAGGCGCGAGGAAGTGGTGGTGGGGTGCCGCACTCTCGGTCACGGTGGGACGGCAGCGGTGGCAGCGGTGTCCCCCAGCCCGCCGCTGGCTGATCCCTTTGGGCAGAAGAATTATCAGTGAAGGGTGGGTTTTCTGCGGGAAAAAGGACAAACCCACCCAGCGGGACAGGCCGGACCGGCCCCCCCAGGGTTAACCCTTCCCTCGACGGGGCTGTCCCCTGCCTGGGGCGGGCAGGAGGGCTCTGGGTCACCGTCTTTTGGGGATCCTATGGGATCAGGACACTGCGGAGCTGTTCGCTGTCCGATTTGGGTAAAAAACAGGTTAAATGGATTTTTTTTTGGTGCTTCTCTGTGTTTTTTTTTTTTTTTTTTTCCTCACCGGGGCCGAACCGAAGCTTTAATCAGGTTTAGCAAGTTTGTTCCCCGGCAGGTGAGCCGGCGGTGACAGTCCAGGAACGAGAACGCAGGAGCCGCCACGACCCCGGGCGCCCTCCCTTTAGTGAGGGGGGACACGAAGACCCCTCTGTGCTGGCGGGGTCCGGCCATAGCTGCTGCGTGCCTCAATTTCCCCATGCATGGACCAGCCTGGTGTGCTGGTGGCATTGATGCCCCAGCCCAGTTTAGCCCAGTCTGGTCCTAGTGGGGCATCAGCGATGAGCTGGGACTGTGGAGGGCGGGGACGATGAGCTCCATCTCCCACCCCTCAGCCTCATCCCAGTCTTTTTGGGATATGGGGAGCAGCGCATAACATATTGATGGTCATCTGATGGCCTAATGCACTTAATTAGCTGAGGAATTAATAGCACTTAATAATTAGTATAGGGAACATCCTGGGGGGGGGTGGGGGGGGGGGGGGGGGGGGGGGGTTGTGTGCAGGGGTTGACATGGATTTGCCTTGTTCTTGGATTTCCCAGGAGCGACTGAGTCTATGCTGGAGCTGAGGTGGGCTTTGTGGTCCCCTGAGGGGTGTGGGACCCCTTGTCATGGTGGCATCATCAAGGTGGCCCCGTTGTCCCCACCTGCAGCTCAGCCCCTCGGGCAAAAGCGTTAGGATTAAAGGATGGGTTTTCTCTAGGAAAAAAGACAAACCTGCGGGGAGATGCTGGACCTCTGCAAGGGGGGATGCTCCGGTGGGAAAACGAATTCCTGTTCCAGACTGGCTGGATAAGGAGACGGGAGAATGGGAGATGGGAGATGCCAGGCTGGGAGGTACCAGGGCAGGAGATGATGCCCAGGAATATCCCCTTCCCCAATCCCTTTGGTAGCAGGAATATCCCCGCACGCACCCTGTGCCGGTGCCCGCTGGAGGTGGGCAGCAGGAACGGGGCTGCAGGAGCGTGAGGAGACGGTGACAGGGGCGGGGGTCCCAGCGTGCCCCAAGGAGGGAGGGGGAAGCGGGGCCGGGGAGGGGGGGGGGGGGTGGCAGCCCTGTCAGGAGAGACTGAGGGTCGGGGACCTGTGGAGTTTGGGGTCCCAGGAGGAGCTGGGGCAGGTTGGTCGGGGGGCAGCTGTCCCCACTGTCCCCAGCGTCCTCAGTGTCTCCACTGCCTCCTCCATCCCCCCCGCTGACCTGCCCAGGGACAAGAGGACAAGCCCAGGGTGTTCCAGGGCCACCTCTGCCGTGCTGCTGCTCCTCTGTGCCCCTCCGAGTGGTGCCCCCTGAGCATCCCTGCCCATCACTGTCCTCAGCTCCATCGCAGACACCCCACCCCGTCCCTGTCCCCTTCCTGTCCCCATGACGCCTCTCTGCCGCATCCCTGTGCCCCTGCTGCTCCCTCTTCCCTGTCCCTGTGCTGCCCCTCCTCGCCCCTGTTCCATGCCCGCCCATCCCTGTCCCATTCCCTGTCCCCATTCCCTGTTTCCCATCCCTGTCCCCATCCCTGTCCCCATCCCTGTCCCCGTGCTGCCCCCTGCTGCCCCAGCCCAGAACTGGCCTCTCCCCATCCCATAATTGCCCTCGCCCCATCCCAGCTCAGAGCTGACCCATCCCATCCCATCCCATCCCTGCTCCGGAGCTGCCCCCTGCGCCTTCCCCACCGCAGACCTCTCCTCTCCCCAGCCAGCAGCTGTCCCCTCCTGCCCTTCCCCATCCCAGCATTGTCCCCCCCGCCCCAGCCCCTCTCAGAACTGCCCCAGCTGCCCCATGGCCGCCCCACCCCACAACTGCCCCGTGCCCCATCCTTACCCCCCTCTGCCTCCCGTCCAGCTCGCCATCCCGCGGTGTGCCCGGGCAGGGGGACACCCAAATTCCAGGGGCATCCCGACTCCAGGGTCCCCAAAAGCCCTGGTGTCCCCAGGTGTGGGGCTGGGGCTGTGGTGGGATCGGGGGTGTCCGGGGAGCCCTCCCGGGGGGCTGAGCAGGGGCTGAGCGAGGGGGGGCTCCTGGCCCAGGGAAGTCCAGAGCTGAATAACGGAGGGCACCGAATTCCCCTTCGACTCACCATGGGTCCCTGCCAGGGCTGCCTCACCCCTGTCCCTGTGCCCACTGTTGTCACCTCACTGGTGCCACCCCACTCCTTCCACCCCACCAGTGCCACCCCGGCAGTGTCACCCCACAGGTGTTCCCCATAGGCTTTTCTCACGAATGGACACTGGGGCCCTTTGGGGACACCGGAGAAGCCACCATCCCTTCAGTGACACTCAGCTGGTGTCACCCCGCTGTGGGGTCCCGCAGCCCTCCCGGGGTCACGTACCTGCACCCTCCCCTCCGCAGCCCTCTCCAGAGCTGCGTGGGTGGCTTGGTGGTGGCACAGTCACGGTCACTTCCACGGTCACCCACAGCACGCCAGGCTGGCCCGGGCTGCTTCATGGTGACATTGTCCCACCACGAGTGTCCCCAGCTGGCCGTGGTGGCCGTCCCGGTGGCGCTGCCGGGACTGAGTCAGGCTCGGTGCCGGCGGCAGAGCCGGGCGCTCGGGCCGGGCACACGGCACCACGGGAACGAGTGACTCCACGGGGACACATGACCAGGTCTTAGGATTTTTGACTCAGAGGGACTGGTGGCAGCGGGTGGCCTGGTCCCCACGGTGGCCCTGGCCAGACTGCGGGACACTGCACTCAGCGTGGCCGTGGTGATGGCCCAGACAGGGCTGTGGCCTGTGGCACAAGGTGTGGTGTGGCCTGTGCCGTACCACGGCATGGCACACTCCTGGCAGTGCCAGGCCCTGTGGTGGCACACCACAGCCTGTCATGTCACATGCCCTGTGCCACACTGTGTCGTGTGCCACGTCCCATCATGTGCCACACTGTGTCCCGTGCCGTGGGCCACACTATGAAGTGCCACATCCCGTGCCATGCCACGGGCCACATCCCAGCTTGTGCCATGCCAAGTGTCACACCATGTTGTCCCACACGCTCCATACCACCCCATGTCACATCCCATGCGCCCTGGCAAGGACATCAGACACAGCCTGGCCACCAGAATACAGCCTCTCCCTGCCCACAGCCACCAGGACAGACACAGGGACAAAGGGACACAGGGACACGACGTCTCAGTGGCCCATAGGCCAAGGTCAGCACTTTATTTCCTTCTGCCATTGTACAAAAATAAAGAAGTGCCACATGGGTGGGGGCACTGCCCTTCTATGTGTACCAAAAATATCAATATACATAAATAAATCCTTGTGATGTTCATAGTTTAACACCGTACAAAAAATATAATAAAAAATAGATATTTATATATTAGAAATGTCCTTAAATATTTCTGCGAGCTGCAGGAGTTAAATTAACCCGAACAATCAATAAATACACTAAACACACAAATATTAATGCATAAATTAGGGGGGAGGCATGGGGGCTGTCAGCCGCTGTCACAGTGCAGGGCCCAGAGCCGAGTCCCTGCTGGGCACAGTCAGGGCTGTGGTGGCACGGCCTGGGAGGCTCAGGGGGGACACGGAGGGATGTTGGGGACTATGGCAGCCCCCAGTGTGCAGGAGTGAGCCTGGGGACACTGAGAGCACAGGGACACCGAGCACAGGGGACACTGAGAGCACTGGGATGTGCAAAGGGACACCGAGCTTGGGGACACCGAGCACAGAGGGACGGTGACTGTGCAGGGACACAGGACTCCGCTCCCAGCTTCTCCCTGGGAGCAGAGCCGGCAGCGGGCAGGCAGCGGGTGACAACACCGGTGACAGCCGCCGGTGGCAGCGCCGTGGGCCCGGTGGCGGGTGCTGGGAGAGCAGCTCTGAGTCAGGCTGTGTCACCCGACCCATTGAATCACTGGAAAATACGGCAGGGCTCGGGGACAGGGAACAGCTGGGCACCCGGGGGACACCCGGCCCCGCTGGGGCCACCTGGATCCACGGGAAAGCGGGGCAGGATGTGGGACAGGGGGCCAGGGCTGTCCTGCAGCCCAGCGGTGGCTCGGGGACAGCCGGGTCCCCACGAGGAGCCGAAGCGGCGGGAGATGCTGTCGGCGCATCCGAGCCTCGCTCGGGTGAGGTGAGAGAGGCTCCGTGCGGCATCCCGGCCGCCGGATGCATCCCCATCCTGGGAGCGGGCTTGGGATGGCGTCCCACGGGTGGGGCCGAAGGAGATGAAGCAGACGGGAGCTCCGGGGCCGGGGCGCTGCCTAGGGCCGTGCGGGCAGCCCTGAGCCCCGGCGCGATCTCCCCTTCTCCCGGCGCGTCCGGCGGCTCCCGGCGTCCAGCTCGGCGCTGCGCTCGGCCATGAAGCGGGCGTAGCTCCACAGGATCCGGCACCCCTGCAGCTTCTGTCGGAAGATGCCGAGGGATGCCGCGGGGCTGGGGAGGGGCCGGCGGCCGGGGCGGAGGCCGGGGGCCGGGAAGAGCCCCGCCAGGTTGCTGAGGAGCGCTCGCACCTTCCGGTGGGTCCTGCTCAAGCGGCGAAGGATTTCGGCCTCGGGGTGGTGGAGGTCGCGCTGGTGGCGGATGATGTCCTGCAGCGCCTGCTCCATGTGGATCATGGGTCTCCGCAGCCTCCGCAGCCCCCAGGGCCCCTTGGCCGGCCTCCGCAGCCACTCGGGGGTATCGTTGGTGCGGCACATGTTGTGGATGTCCAGGTGCTGCTCCTTCTCCTGCCCAGAGATTGAAGATCGGGGATGTGGAAGCAGCACGGGGAGCGCCCCGCAGCTGCCCGGTGGAGGGGACAGGTATGACCCCTCGCCCTGGGGAAGGGGACTCACGTAGAAGGTGAAGAGCTCCTGCGCGTCCTCGGCCATGAGCCTCACCAGCGCCTGGGTCTGCTGCACGGTGGGGGCCAGCGGGGACCTGCCCCCCTGGCCCGGCACTGCCCAGAGGATGAGGAGCCCTTTGGCGACAGCTGGGGAGGAAGAGGAGGGAGTCAGGGGCCCCTGGGGCATCGCTGGGTGCAGGGACAGAGCCCTCTCTCACAGGGTCAGACCCCCGCGCCCGGAATGCTGCCTGCACCACAGACCCAGCCCCTGCGCCAAAAACCTGCTGGGCACCCGCAGGGAGGAGGATGAGGGTGCTGGAGGTGCTGTGGAGCAGTCGGGATGTGCAGAGCAAGCACAGCAGCTGCTCCAGCAGCTCCCTCTGCCAGCGCGGGCCACCAGCGACACTCCTGCATCCAGTCCCGCTCTCCAGCTCTGCTCAGTCACCGTCCCCGTCCCGCTGTCACCCACAGGACTCTGGATATGGCACTGGGCTGACACACAGCCTCTGTCCCTTTGGGCCAGCTGACCTCTGACCTTCTGCCATTGGTCCTCAAACTGTCCCCTCCTGTCTGCCGCTGCCAGCATCGCCTCTCTCGCAGGCTGCCCACCCCCAGCGCTCCCCATGCGCCGCAGCGGGGAATGTCCCCGACGCCGCCAGCGCCCGAGGGAGGCGACAGTGCCGGGGCACAGCGTCGGTGCCACCTGCCCCGGTGCCACCTGCCCCGGCGCCGCTGACTCCACGCCGCGGGCCCCGGGCCCTCTCCCGGCCGGGGCACAACGTACCTGCCAGCACTGCCCAGGGCCGCCCGTCGCACCGCATGGCCGGGCCCGCCGTCCGCCCGGGGCTGGGGCGCGCAAGCCACTTCCTTAAGCGCTCGGCGATGGGGAAGCGCGGCTTTTAAAGCCTCCGAGAGGAAGGCAGCGAGAAGCGAAGCCGTGTCCGGGGGCCAATGAGCGGGGTGAGTGAGAGCAGCGGCGGGGGAAGCGGGGCCGGGCGGTGGATGGGGATGTTCTTCGAGTCAGTTCCTCGAGGGAGTCCGGCCGGGAGGCTGCGGTCCCACCGCTCAGCCCGGGTCCGGCCGGAGCCCCGCGTCCCGGCTTCTCGGGAAAGACTTTTGGATTCACGCTGGTCTCACCGCTCAGCGCCCGACAGGTTGAACTGAAACCAGCGCCGCCTGCCCCGAAACCCCAATGCAAAAGAGGGCAGTGGCGGCTGGCAGCGGGGACAGGGATGTCGCCCTTGTGCCACCGTGACTGGGTGTTTCGCATCCCAAATCCTGCTGTGGGAGGCAAAAATCTACCCTGGAAAGGAGGGAGGTGGAGGTGCGGGAAGTGCAGAGCATCCCAGCACTGCCTGATGCTCCATCCGCCTGCTCACACCTCTGGATGACAAATTCGGGTGCTGAACCAAATGGGGGACACCAGGCTTAGCCCCTCTGCCCACAGCACCCACGGCAACACCGAGGGCGCCGGGTGTTGCCCAAGGCAGCGCTGCCCCTTGTGCAACACTGCCCTGGGAGAGCCCTGGGGCTCAGCACGGCTCATCCGGCACCGCCCTGGGGCTGCCACGGCCCGGCACAGCCAGCAGCACCCAGGGCACCCCTTTGTCCCCTGGGCTCCTCTTCCCGGCAGGCGGAGCCCGGCACCGACAGAGAATTTCCCGTTCCTTAGAGGTGAACGGCTCCGTGTCGAGGCGTGTCGCAATCCCGATGATTTTGGTGACCCCCGCAGAATTTACGTGTTTGCAGAGTTCCGTGGTGGCGCAGGGGGACAACCCAGAAACGAACAGCTCCTTCCAGGAGGAAGGAAGGATGCAGCGGTGACTCACTTGTAGAAGTGCTTTCTTTTCCCAGAATTTCCCTGTCCTGGCCGCACCAAACCACGACCTGCACGATCTGCTTCCTCCACCAGCTGCCTCTGACGATTCTTCCTCTTCCTCCTCCCCGGAACCTCCCCGGCAGAGGTGGCGGCTGGGGTGGGCTCCGTGGGGCCGGGGTGGGCAGGGCTGTGCTCCGGGCAGTCCTGGAGAGGTGGAGGAACCAGGAGAAGATCTTGCTCGTTCCACAGCAGTTTGTCCATCCCCTCAGGCTGCCTGGACAGGCTGTCCACCCATCCACCCATCCCATCCATCCCTCCATCCCTGCCATGAGGGTGATCAGGGCTCCCCCCCTCATCTCTCCTTGGCCACAGGTGGCCCTGACCCCTCCATATGGCACCGTCACCCCCCGGGCTGGGCCAGCAGGAGCCCATGGTGGTGGCCACCCCATGGCAAGTGTGGCCAGGACTGTGCAATACCCAACAGGGACAAAAATAGCCCGGGTGACCGCATGGGCCAGCAGCAATTTCTTCATCGCCGAGAGCGCGTCACCGGCGTCCCATGACTCGCAGAAGGGGCCGAGACAGGAAGGAGAGTGCCCCGAGAGCTGGCACGGAGCTGGTGGCTGCAAGAGCGTGGGGCTGACGTGGGCAAGACGTGCCAGGACCGGGGCACAGTCGTGCTCGGAACGTGGCAGAGCAGAGGATGGATTTTGGGGACAGGGTGGCAGCAGAGGTCCCCCCCAGGCTCCTGCGGGGTCTGGCTGAGGCCCAGGCCCCCCTGGGGGCACCCAGTGCTGCAGCACCCCAGGAGGGCACAGCCCTCACCCCGTGCACTCCACTTTGCCACAGGATGCTGTGCTGCCAGCAAGGGAAGAGGGCGTGGGGACACAGTGGCAGTGTGACAGGGACATCCCCAGGCCTGGGCTCAAGCTCCTGCCTCAGTTTCCCCCCAGTCAGGCCCGGTGTGGTGTGGGGCAGCAGGAGGGCATAAATGTGTGCCTGGGTTTCCCCAGGGCTGGTGATTTGCTGGGGGATGCAGCTTTAACCCATTTTTTCACCCAAAATACAGAGCAGAGAAAGTGGCCGTGTCCCAGCACGTCACAGCAGAACTCTGTCCCCTTGTCCCACCCCAGCCTCTGCCACCAACACAGGAACCAGCTCTGGGCTACACAGAAATAAAAATAATAAGAATTTTATTGACTTACCAAAATCTATGTGAAAATAGAACTTGTCAGGGGCTGGGTGTCACTGTCACCCCTCTGTGACAGGTGACAGTTAGGGCTGGCATTGAACCTGAGCCCCCCCACTGCCCCCTTGGAGATTTTTGGGGTGCCAGGGGTAACCCCAGCTCCAGGAATGCTCTCCACTCCAGGGGGCTAGTCCAGGGGTGTCCCTGAGCATCGTGGCCACCGCCCCCTTCCCAAGGGGACACATCCCATCAGCCCCAGGCTGTCCCCTATAGCACCACAGTGGCACATCACTGCTCTTTGGCATGTCCCCCCGTGTCCCCTCCACCTGCACACACCCACTCTCCCTGGGCCACCCACCCCGCACAGGCTGGGCTAGAGGGAGAGGATGGCAGCCTGGCCCCTGTCCCGTGGGCCACTGCCCACTGCCACAAGGCCACCGTGTCCCCAAAGCCACCTCATCCCCAGCACAGAGGGAGCGTGATGCTGTGCCTGGCTCTGTCCTGTGCTGGGGGATCATTAAAATGAACAATTTCAGTCGTTCCAGGGTGGGGAGGAGGGCAGACACCGCGCCGGGCCGGGCAGCGTGGCGCCGGCCGGCCGCTATCTGCCGCCCTCCTGCCGCTGCTGCAGCAGCTGGATGACCTCAGCAATGCCCTCCTCGGGGACCTGCCGCGGGACAGAGGGGTGTCAGCCTCAGGGGACACTCAGGGGTCCCCGGGGAGGGGCAGGGCTCACCAAGGCGTGATCGAAGTTGAAGGTGCTGATGTAATAGGCCGAGATGTCAGCGGCCGCCAGCGGCTCCGCGATCTGCGCCACGATGCCGCACTCGTCTGGGGGACAAAGGGGGACTCAGGTCACTACCGTGGGGACACACAGGGACAGCCGTGCCCCAGAGCACCCCCTGGGTGGCAGCGGCACCAGAGGGGACACGGCCACCGCGGCCACACTCACCGAAGCCGAGGGGCTGCCCCCCGATGCGCACCATCCGCCACAGCTCCCCCGTGGAGCTGGTCAGCAGGAGGTCACTGGGGAAGCTGAGGGGGACGAAGCCAAGTGTCACCCCCTCCCTGAGCCCCCAGACGCAGGGACAGAGGGACAGACAGCCCCGGGATGGCACCTACCGCTTCTGGGTCTCGGCATCCATCACGATGGAGATGTAGCCGTCGATGAGGGAGAAGGAGAAGAAGGTGATGGAGTCGAGGTCCTGGCTGCCGGTGGCTGCGTCCCATGGGGGGCTGCCGAGGAGGAAGGGGACACATGGAGGAGCCACGACCCCCAAAATGGGCAGGAGAAGGGCTTGGTGGTGGCACTGGGTGTCTGAGCACCGTGCTGGGGTACTGCAGGGTGGGGGAGAGGGGATAGGAGGTGGTGGTCCCCACAGGGTCTGCAGCTCACAGGTGACACCACGTTTAGGGGCATTCTCAAAATGGCCACGGTCAGTGTGGAGCAGGAGGATGCCACCAGAAGGGACCCCATTCCAGGGGACACGGGAGAACCCCCCCAGCACCATTCCCACTGCCTTTCCCAAAACCACCCCCTCCTGCTTTACAGCGTTCCCCCGGGATTTGGTACAACGGTGGCTTTGTCCTTTGAGCCACCTCGGGGTTCCCACCCCTCACAGTGCAGCTCCCGGGAAGACAAAACCAGTTTGGAAAACACATCCAGAGTCTGAAAACCCGCTGGGATCAATGTCACCGCAGTTCAGGTGGCACCAGGCAAGAGGCCACCTCCGTGTCCCCATCCCCGGGACTCACCTGTGGGAGTAGAAGAGGACGTCGATGAGCATGGTGGCGATGGCGGGCAGCGTGTCGGGGGCCACCGTCAGGACACAGAAGCGCGTCTGGGGGCTCTGCACCGGGTGCAGCGTGGGGCTGGCGGCTGGCAGGGGAGCGGCCGCGTCAGGCCTGGGGACAGCTCGGGGACAGTCCCGCAGTGCCACCCCGTGGCCACCGCGCCCACGGCCCCAGGTCTCCCTGGGAGCAGAGGGGTGGCCCGGGGGTCCCCAAGGATGTGGGTGCCATCGGTGGGAGCTGCAGCATCTCCGAGTGTCCCCAGGTGGAAATCTCCAGTGGGAACTGGAGCATCTTGGAGGGGTCCTTAGGATATGTGACGCCGGTGGGAGCAGGAGCACCTTAGCTGGGACTTGTGTGGTCCTGGGGACAGGGTGACCATGGGGGTGCCCCAGGATGTGGGAACCACCCATGGGAGCAGCATCTTGGCAGGGACTGGATGGCTCTGGGACTGGGTGGCCAGGGGACAGGGTGGCCCTGGAGGTCTCCCAAAGATGTGGGTTGCACTGGTGGGAGCTGGATCATGTCAGCGGGGACTGGCTGGCCAGGGGACAGGGTGGCCCTGGAGGTCCCTCAAGGACATGGGTACCACCAGCTGTACTGGAGCACCTGGGTGGCCCCAGGGGACACAGAGCCCAGTGTCACTTACGTGGTTTGGGCTTGAGGAAGCCGTTGCTGACGTCATCGCAGGTGACAGGGACACACTCGCCACTCTCCTCCTTGTAGATGTCGAACTCCCCGGCCAGCGTGTGGATCACCACGGGCAGGTCCCGCTCCCGCACCTGCCCCGGGGCGCGGGGTCAGGGCTGCACTGCCACCCCTCCCCCTGGACAGCCAGCCAGGGCCACCGTGCCCGTCACCCACCAGGATGAAGTCGGTCTGGTACGTGGAGAGCATCAGCACCGAGACGTGGTGCTCGGCCAGCGGCGCGATGACCGACCGCGCGATCTTGGTGACGCCGGTGGCCTGGCAGCCGGGGGGCTCCCGCCCGTTGGAGACCACGCTGAGCGCCAGCCACGTGGAATCTGCCACCTGCAGGAACTCCGAGGGCGGCAGCTCTGCGAGGGACCGGGGACACTGAGGCACAGCCCGACACAGAGCCAGTGCCAGCTCAGGCACTGCGTGCCACGCTGTCCCATGGGTGATCCCCAAGGCAGGATCAGCCCCAGGTGTGGGGACACTGGTTTGGGGGTGCAGTTGAGCCCCATCCTCAGTGGAAAGAACCAGACAGGGCTCAGCTGCTCCACACTGGGATTTGGCCGTAGGGACGAGGGGGGCCAAAGCTACAGGCCCCCAAACCCCAAGATGTGTCTCTCCTCCCTGTGCCAGCACCGCAGGCTGGGTGTATGGGGATGTTGGCATTGCACCCCCAAACCAGCATCACCAGGGCCGTGGGGCTGCCCAGCTCATCCTCTGCCCCCCAGGAGCCCCCAGCCCAGCGCCCACCACCAGGGATGTTCAGGGATGCACACAGGACATTGGAGGGGACAAGGAGAGGGTCATCCTGCTGTCCTGGGAGTCCCAGCACCTAGTGTCAGCCTGGTGGAGAGAGCCCAGGCTGCCAGAGGGCCACAGCTGCTTCCCAAAAATCTGCTGGTGTTGGCAGGGTGGGCATAGACCAGCTGCTCCTGCCTCCCACCCTCCTGCCCAGGAGAGGGGCTGGCACTGCTGGGGCACCCAGAGCTCAGTCAGGCTGCTCCCTCTTCTCTGGGCTCCCCTTCCCATCAAGGGACGGGCCAGGGCCCCAAGGAGTCTCCAGTCCACTCCTCCTATCCAGGAAAGGTGGGAGCAGCTCCCATGGGAGACCACACAAGCCCCCAGCCCTTGGGTGGGCAGCCAGTGCCCAAGCCCAGCTGAGACCCCAGACTCACCACGCCAGTGGTGGAGGGGAGGCTGCACGGGGGAAGGTCCAGCCCTCACTGAGGGGCCCCCATCCGGGGACAGGCTCTGTACTCCGCTCCCAAACTGGGCCGGGGCAGGGCGGGAGCGGGGCCGGATCCGGAGCCTTGGCGGCTGTTCCCAGCGCCTGTTCCTGCGCAGGAAGCGCCAGAACAGCCTCGGCTCCAGCCCAGGGCCCAGTGCTGGGAACAGCGGGGCGGGACAGGGACTCAGGGACATGGGGACCTGTCCCAGAGCTCAGTGTTTAATCGCTTTTCAACACCACCCTGGGCGAGGCTGAATGCAAAGGGGGCCCCGCTGTCCCTATGTCACCCACCCCAGGGCTTAATCCTGATCCCAAGGGAAGAGGGGGTGCAGCTCTCCTGTGCTGGGGGTCCCCTTCCAGCCCGGCAGCAGGGGGACACTGGCAGCCCGCAGCCAAGGGGGGTTCACGGGGCACTGCGGGGCCGCAGGCTTGCAGGACCATTGTTCAGCACTTCCCGCCCTCCCCTCGGGATTGAGGAATATTTGTCTGCATGCCCCAAAATACAACAATACGTGGGGAACGGCTCTGGCTCTGGGAGCGGGGAGAGCCCGGGACACGGTCCCGCTCCACAGCACACGGAGGTGAGCCTGGCACCTGGCCGCGAGTGCCCGTGGCCGGAGCGCTGACCTTGTCCCTGGGTCACGGCCAAGGACCCGCGGCGGCCCCGGCAGGAAGGTTTGGGCGTGGGAAGGCGGGCGGGATCCGGACCCTCTGGCTCAGCCCGTCGGGCCGGTGGCCCGGCAGGGCTGGCGGTGAGGGTGACACACCGCACGTGCCGGGCCATGTGGGGACGTCACCAAGTGGCACCTCCCCGGGAGAGGGACTGGCTTGGAAGGGATCCAGCCTCTCCAGGACACCCCAAAAGCTGGACCCTGCTGCCGGACAGGACTCACCCCTGCCAGCCTGGCCGCGCCTGTGCTTTGCCCTGCTCTGCCAAAGCTGCAGCTGGCCCTCACCGGGAGCAGGGGCGGGATGAAATTGGACACGGGAACGATGACAGGCTGCCAGAGCCGGGAGCGCCGCCCGCGGGCATCCCGGGAGGAGCCTGCGCCCTGCCGGAGCGCCCGGGCCCCGGGCCGGCACCGCAGCCCGGTGGCAGCGCTGCCCGGGAGGGGCTGGCGGAGCAGGGCAGCCACGCCGGGAGAGCCCCGGCCGGGCAAGCCGGCACATCCCCGGCACAGGCGCCTGGGGCAGGACGGGCACGCTCCGAGGGAGCCAAGCACAAGCCGGGACTCGCTCCCCGCGGCCCAGGCGCAGAGCCGGGCTGGGGACGCGCACAGCCCGCGCCGGCGGTGCCAGCCCGCCCTGCCAGGGACCCACCACTCGGTACCTTTGAAGCCCTCCTCGTCCAGCATGACCGTGTAGTCCTCGGGGGTCTCCGTCAGGCTGAAGAACTTGCATCTGAAGCAGAAGAAATCGGTGCTGCTGACCTCAAAACCGCCGCCGTCTCCCGGGGCCGGGAGTCGGGGAAAGAAGAGCAGGAAGAGGAGGAGGAGGGTGGTGGCGGGGGGAGGACAGCCGGTACCGGCAGCGCTGGGGCAGGAAGAGCAGCTTGAGCAGCGGGTGGGTGTAGAGCCAGAGCCCGCGGCGGGCCAGGCTCAGCACCCGCACCCGGTGCTCCAGGATGTGCAGGTCCATGGCGGCCGCGCCGCCCCGGGAAGCGCCGCCGCCGCCACTATAAGGGCGGACACGGGACCGCCCCGGGACCGGCCCGGGACCGCCCCGCATCGCCCCGGAACCGCCCCGCCTCGGTTCGGCAACGCCCTGTGACCGCCCTCACCGCCCGGGGACCCATCCGGGAACGCTCCGCTTCTCTCTGGGACCGCCCTGTGACCGCCCGCCTGGCGCCAGGACCGCCCCCATCGCTTCGGGACGCGACCCGGCACCGCCCCGGGACCGCCCCGCACCGCCAGAAAGGCAACGACCCGGGCCACCGGGATGCCCGCACTGGACACCCGGGATAGCCCCACCGGAGCCTCGGAACCAGCCCCAGTGCAGAACTCCGTGGTGCCCAAACCAGCCCAAATTCAGCGCCCCGGGATGCCTGGAGCAGCTCCAACTCAGAGTCCCAGAGTACCCCCGAAATGCAGCCCTGGGGGCCCAAACCACCTTCAATTCAACAGCCCGGCATGCCCAACCAAGGGAGACCCTCTGGGAGCCACTGCCAACCCCACTCTACCCCCAGCCACAGCACCCAACCGGGTCCCACATGCTCAGCCCCAACGCCAGGTCTGGAGAGGGGATTCACCAAACCAGGTCCACCCTGGGAAAAAGGGGTTTGTGGAGGGAGGAATGGAGGTTTGGGCAGAATTCTTGCCTGCAGGAAGAAAGAGAGAGATGGCCTGGGCACTATTTTGGGATGGGAAGCTGAGCTCTGGGGTGTCATGGGATTAGTTTGGGGTCCCCTGGCTCTGTTCAGCCACAGGAGCTGTGACAGTGGGAGAAGGGGAAAGGCCTCGGTGCTGGGGTGAGAGTGCATCAGAGCCTGGCAGCCACCACTCTCACAAGCTGGGGCAGGTCTCAGTCTCCTCCCATTCCACTTCAAAGGGGCAGCCACAAGGCTGGTGAGACAGCAGGGCTGGGCCATCTTCTGCGGTGACAGAGCAGTGACAGCAGCGTGGCCCTTCCCAGGTCACTGCCCAGCACCTGCCCCCAGGACAAGGGCAGCCAGGAGAGAAGGGACCCAGGGAAGGGTGCATGCCAGGGTCAGTGTCCAGTGCGAATGGGATGCAGGGAAGGGTGCCCCCAGGGATAGAGAACCATGGGCAGGGTCCAGGTCAGGGTACCCCCAAAGCTGGTACTGGTGCAGCAAAGGGGAGGTGACACCCTTGCCTCCTGCCACCCTCCAGCCCCATCCCAGGCCAAGAGAGGTGGGAGCCGGGGCTGCGCCTTTACACACTCGCTTTATTGACCCCTTTGTACAAAACTGCTTTTCCCGCTTTATTTTACAAACCCACCACCCACCCTCGGGGAGGGCGGGGGGGGCAGAGGGGACCCCACAACCAGGGGGCACCTGGCTGCTGCTCACCCACCCCGTCTCACCTGCGCTGGGGCCTGGGGGGGGGTGGCAGTGGTGGGGTGAGCCCTGGCAGGGTAAACACTCCCCCTGAGCTGTGGGGAACTTGGGGATGGGAGGGGATGGGATGGGGGGCCTTCAGCCCCAAAACTCGGCAACAAATCCCGCCGCCTCTAGCACATCCTGCCTCGGTCCCTGTCCTGCCTCGGAGGAATAATAAATAGGCTCAGTGAGTAGGTAAGTTGGGTACTACATATAGGGCTACAGCTTGATATATCCTCACTAGATAAGAGGGGGGCGAGGGGTCCCAGGGCTCCTCGTGTACCCCCAGTGCCCTGCGCCAGGCCTAAGTGCTCAGGAACTGGGGCTGGGGCTGCCCGGCTGGCGCAGGGTGGGGGCTACAGGAGGGACCCGGGGGGTGATGGGTCGAGGGGCTCTGGGACGGGGAGAGGGGCCCAAGGGGCAGCCCAGCCCCCCAGCGTGGGGAGGGAGCTCGGGTGGCTCAGCCACCCCCTGCCCGGGCTCCCACCGCTCGTGGTGCCAGCACCCTGCGGGGTGGGCACCCAGCGCAGACCCACGGTGTCCCCTTTGGTCACCACACCTGGCCAAGCTCCACGGATGCCCCGAGAGGGCCACGCTGTTCTCCCGGAGCCGCACAGCCCCCCTGTCCCATCCCTCCAGCTCAGAGCCCCCAGCGCCGGGTGCCAGGGGTCCCCCTGGGTGTCCTCGCGCCCGGGTCCGTGCGCAGCCCCGCTGAGCCCGGCTGCCCGGGGTGTGGGCCGGGCCCTACAAGTACGTGTCCTCGCTCTCCCGGGAGCTCAGGCTCTCCTTGGACTGGTGGTGGGGGGAGACCTGCGGGTGCAGCAGCTCCCGGGTCGTGCCGGGCGCCCCGTTGCCCTCGGCCCCGGGGCCGTTGGCAGGACTGGCCGGGCCCTTTTCCCGGCTCTTCTCCTTGCTCTTGCGGGCCTTGGGCACGGGGGCGGGCCCGGGGGAAACGATGATGGAGGGGAGGGGCTCCAGAGCCTTGCGCGGCGCGGGCTCCGCCTCGCTGATGGCCTTGGCGCCGTGCAGGCGCGGGGGGGACTTGCACTGCAGCTCTCCGTGCGTCTCCCGCCACTTCTTCAGCTGGATCAGGTGCTCCCGCTCGATCTGACGCTCCGTCACCGGCAGCTCGATGACCTGTGGGGACACTTGCTCCATCAGCGACAGTGCCACCGGGGCTGGGTGTGGGATCCCCCTCAGGGCACTGCTAAGGAAGCTTTTTGGGGGCTGCTTCCCATGCTCCGCCCACCCAGGGACAGCCCAGTCTGGCAGCACTGGGCCCCCAGGCCGTCCCCAGCACCTCACCTCCTGCACCAGGAAGGCCTCCTGCATGATTTTGGGGCTGAGGGCCCTCAGCCTCTCCATGGTCTCATACTGGCCCTGGCAGGATTTGAGCTTGTCCGAGGAGCCCAGGGTGTGTTTGAGTAGCACCAGGCCCACCCGGAAGATGATCTTCACTCCTGCAAGAGGAGACGAGACGCAGTGAGTACCAGGTAGGACAGGGTGACACTGCCACCGTGTCCCTCAAATGCTGTGGGACAGCACATCCCAGTCCCACTAACGGTCAGGACATGCAAGAGGGTGAATTTGGAATGCACATGCCTCCTAACCCCCAGGAAAACTGCCCACCTCCACTGGTGGCTGTGGCTGCCCCAAACCTGCCCTGCTACAGGTCCCATGGCCGTGGGGAGTGCAGTCACCCCGTGAGGAGGAGGAGGATGGTGGGGAGCTCCTACCTTCACAGAAGAACATGTCCCAGACGCGCAGGACGGAGCTCCAGGGCAGCGTGCGGGAGAAGGCGCACATGAACCACTCCGTCATGTACAGGATGGGGTCGATCTTCTGCTTGCTCAGGTGCTTGTAGGCCACAGGGGAGACCTTGTGCAGCAGTGAGAAGAGGATCTGTCCGTCCAGCTGGATGGCTTCCTGCAGGGACAGGGACCAGCATCCCAGTGAATACCCCAGCCCTGGGATCAGCCCCCAGGGCCAGGTCCCAGCAAGGGCAGCCAACCCTCTACACCTGATGTGAGCAGAGCTGTGTCCCACGGATGCTACACTGAGATCCCCATCCCTGAATGCTTCTGGGAGCCACATCACAACAGGGAGACTGTGGGAATACCCAGCCCCTCCTCAGACCCCTTCTTTCCCCAGGGTGAGGAGCTGGACAAGTCTTTGGCCTGGAGATTCAGAATTGTGGAATGGTTTGGGTTGGAAGGGACCTTAAAACTCATCTCATTCCATCCAAATGCCCTGTGGTAGCTTCCACTATCCCAGGTTGCTCCAAGCCCTGTTTAACCTGGCCTGGAACTCTTCCAGGGATAGGGTGGCCACAGCTGCTCTGGGCACCCTGTGCCAGGGCCTGCCCACCCTCCCAGGGAGGAATTTATTCCCAATGTCTCATCCATCCCTGCCCTCTGGCAGTAGGAAGCCATTCCCTGTGTCCTGTCCCTCCATCCCTTGTCCCCAGTCCCTCTCCAGCTCTCCTGGAGCCCCTTTAGGCCCTGGAAGGGCTCTGAGCTCTCCCTGGAGCCTTCTCCTCTCCAGGTGAGCACCCCCAGCTCTCCCAGCCTGCCTCCAGAGCAGAGGACCTCCAGCCCTCAGAGCAGCTCCATGGATTCCTCTGGAACTCTCTCCAGCAGCTGCAGGTCTTTCCTGTTCTGGGCCCCAGGGCTGGGGCAGCTCTGCAGGTGGGGCCTCACCTGGGCAGGGCAGAGAGGCAGAATCCTCCCTCCCCTGCTGCCCACACTGGGGGCTCAGCCCAGGACACATGGCTAGGGTGTGGTCAACCCTCACCAACCAGCACTCCTGTGTCCTTCTCCCCAGGGCTGCTCCTGATCCCTTCATCCCCAGCCCAGACTGATCCTAGGGGCTGCCCCAACCCAGATGCAGCACCCTGCAGGTCCCTGCCACTGCTGAAAGCACCATGAGCTCTTTACTTACCAGTTTCTCGCTGTAGTAGCCAGGGAGGTACTTCTCACAGATCTGCACCAAGCACCAGAACGCTTGCTGCAAGCCAAGGACAGCAGGTGAGCACTCAGAGGACATCCCTGTGGCCCACTCCCTGCTCCCAGGAACCACGGGAGAGGGTGGCAAGCAGCAGAGCACCCCTGGAGCCCTTTGGGTTGCCCTGAGCCGGGCACCCCACTCATCAGCACCCCCCAAAGGGCCCCACAACGCTCCAGGAGGTGCCAGCTGTCCCCTGAGCCACGTGCCCGTACCTCGGCCGGCATGTGCATGAGCAGGACGGCGGCGATGGGCGCCTGGGCCTGGCAGTACCCCTCCTCCGGGCGGTACAGCGTGTACGCCTTCAGCACCCGGAACAGGTCCTGCTGCCTGCAGAGACACCCGGGCACGCACAGCTGGGCACACGGCACGCACGTGGCCCAGCAGCCTTCCCCGTGCACGCCAGGCTCGAGCCTGGGTCACTCCCTGGCTGGGATCCCTTTTCCACACAAAGCCGGGCCAACAGCTCTGGGGCTCGGCCCACAGAGCGCAGGTCCTGCCTGGATCTGGGAGTCGAGGCGTGGAGACAACCATTCGGCCCAGAGTGAGGACAGACAGGCAAGGACCTAGCTGCAGCTCCCAACACACTGGGAGCAGCATTTTCCTGGTGAAACGGAGGCCACAGGCTGCCACCTCCTCCCTCTACCCTCCTGTCATGGCAATTCCCACCCCACTGGGTGTTAGAGCTGGTCTGAGCCATCCTGTTTTCAGTCAGTGCATGCTCTGCCACTGTGGG